TAGAAACAACCTATTTATCGAAATTACTAGCCAAAAACCCGCTATCTGTATTTATGTGTTGTTTTGGCAATCATTACCTAAAATTTGACGAGGACTTTGTCCTTGGCCAACACCCCTGTTATTTAAACAATAATCTATGTTTGCTTTTGACTAGAGAGAGGTGTCCAAAACAAATACCAGCCTTAGCTAGCCAAATTTAGCTTTAAAATAGAAAAATTGGACAAATGCCAATTTTGCTCCAAATACACTAATTTCTCCAAATGAACCGATATCAATCTGACTGCCATTTTAGTGTATGCATAATAAAACCCAAAACTAGGCCAGGTCTAATACTGTATCCAATTCTACTTCAAAACCAATGTATTAGTTTGGACCAAGGAATGTATCGTCCAACTAAAAACTGTCTTTAACTCGCAGCTTATCTGACCTAAAAACCTAGGCCATAATGGCGCTTAGTGGTTTTTCCCAAATGCAAAAACCAAATAAAAATATACGCAGTTTTAAGACTGACCTTAACTTTTGGGGTGTTGTTTCAAATCCAAAATTTATGATATGGATTCTCCCTAAATTTAAAATTCAAATTTTCTTGTTGGCTATCCTCCTAAAATTTTTTTTTTCATCAATATTATTAGGATTTGGAAATACTACTAATTTGTAATATTTTGTTTGTTCATCAATATTTATATTTAGAAATACTTATAATTTTTGTATAATTTTTGTTTCACAAATATTTTGAATTTGGAACTCATAATTTGTAAATTTTATACGTATAATTTATTTCTAATAATAATGTTATTTAACATTTTAATGCAAATCACAACATCTACTATTATATATAGTACAACATATATATTAATAATATTATATTAATCATTTTATATAAATCTACTATTATTATTAATATAATATATTTATTAATAATATTTTTTCATCAGTTATATAATATTCTATTTATGCACCACTATATCACTATTATTTAAACTTACAATACACAATATTTATAATTATATTTATCGATAATAATTAATAGGAGACCTTAAGAATCCCACTGTCATGCTGTAGTAAATGCCGCAGTAAATTACTGTAGCATTATATATATATATTATATGTTATATATAATATTATATATATATATATATATATATATATATAATATATATAATATATATATATATATATTATAGTATATATAATTATATAATAATTAGAAATTATCCAGAGAAATAACTCTGTTAGAGTCAAATATGACTCAAGAAGTCAAAAAAGATATCCTATGACTAAAAATGGCAGCCTTAATAAGGCGAAATATCCTCAAAGCTCTGAAGCCGAAATTAAGCAGAAGTGCTTAGAATATTTTAAAAGGCAGTTCTTTGAAGCTTTACGAAGCCGAGACTAATAGTCATGCTCTTCTATGGAAGAAGATACACTCTGTCTAGATCAGATTCAAGATGTCAGGACCCTGAAGACATCTGGGGCAGAAATATTCAATAATCCACCCGACCTTAAGTAAAAGCCCAGCTTTATAAGCAGACAAAATACTAGATTGAGCCTCGGGGAGCGTCTAGCATCTCTTTCCAAAAAGCAGCTTTATAAAGCCAGCTTTTAAAGCTACTTACCTTAAAGAAGAATCTTACTATTCTAAATGTCGCCATCACCGCTGGTGCTAATTAGTGCGGCTACTGTCTAATTAATGGCGGGTCGCTTTCCTACTTTGAAATAATGTGCCACTTCAGAGAAATTTCGGGAAGCTGTCGACCACTTTAAAGATCCTTCCAAGTGCTATAATAAGAAGGAAGGTGAAGATCAGAGTGCGCGCAATCAGAAGAAAAATAAAATAAGGTGCTTGAGTAATTTGTATTTTGATGTTCTTTGAGTGTTCTCTTGTAAAATATCTCTTGTAATATATTGGTGGAGCATAATAAAGATATAATCTTATTCTTCAACTCTTATAAGTTGTTTCTCCTATTGTTTTAATAAATATTGGTATAATTATTTGTTTATAATTTTACTTAGTTCTTCATATGTTCTTCATTGAACTCATTAGGCTTTATAAAAGCCATTGCCTCTATAGTAGAGGGATAAATATCTTTTAATTGTATCGGGTCTGTTGGTGGTTGATAGATCTATTATTTTACCCGTTGATGTTTTCCACTGTTTTAAGTGTCTTCTAAAAACCTTATTTATTATTTTGTTTTAAAACATATCTTTTTAGAAACCAAGGAACAAAAAATTTATTCTTTGTTCATATTCAAGTTCTCATATAATACTTATTAACCCAATTTATTGTACTTGTTTTGAAAAACTTTTAAAAAACCAATTTCGAAAATCTTTGTTTATCAAGGTAAAATTCTGTATTAGAATTTCCCTATAGGACTTCCTTTTTCAAATTCATTACTTCATTCTAAAACTCATCTCCGTATTAGGAGTATAATATTATAATATATATGTTGTACTATTATATAATATAGTATGTGATATTGCATAATAATGTATAACAAATATATTAAAATAAATTATACGTATAAATTACAAATTATAGTATTCCAAATCTCAAAATATTGATGAAACAAACAAAATATTACAAATTATAGTATTCTAAATTCTAAAATATTGATGAAACAAACAAAATATTACAAATTATAGTATTCCAAATCCTAAAATATTGATGAAACAAACAAAATTTTAGAGATCCCAAACCCACAAAAAAATTTATGAATTTTAAATTCTATGGTGAAATCCATATCCATAAATTTTGGGGTTTGAAACAAACACCCCCAAAAGTAAGGTCAGTATTAAACTTAGCCTAGTTTTTAGTTGTTTTCCATTTGGCAAAAACTAAGCCCATTATGGCCTTTTTTTAGGTCTAATAAACGTGCATTAAACCAGTTTTAGTTTGGACCATACATTCCTTGGTCCAAACTAAAATTGGTTTGAAGTAGAATTGGATCAGTATTAGCCCTGGCCTAGTTTTGGGTTACTTATCATACACCTCAAAATGCAGTCAGATTTGATCCGGGTTCCATTTTGGGAGAAATTGTGTTTGGGCAAAATTGGGCACATTGTCCCAATTTTTCTTTTTAAAGCTAAATTTGGCCTACTAAGCTGGTTTTGTTTTGGACCACCTCTCTCTAGTCCAAAACAAAACCGATATAGTTAAAAACATGGCCAGGACAAGTCCTCGTCAAATTTTAGGATGATTGCCAAACACACATAGAGCGGATTTTTTGGCTAGTAATTTCGAAAATAGGTTGTTCTAATACCATGTTTGAAGAACCATACCATTCAATTAGGGATGTCAAATGGGTGGTTTTGGTTAGGTCTTGGTTGGGTCATATATGGGTGGACACATTTATGACCACTTGACCATTTATGACCCATTTAGCATTTGCTAAATGGGTCACTTCTTAACCACTCATTTACTAAATGGGTGGTTCATGGGTGACCCAATAACCCATTTAGTTATGATTATGATACTTCTATATATATGTAAGTTTCAGGGATCTACTTGCAAGAAAACATTTCTTTCTCAGTTGAATCGACTACTTAGGAAAATCTCTTTTGTGGGGCTTTGCCAACTGCAGATAAACATTATTAAGTTATCACATATGATTAACTCTTCAGCATTTAGCCTGTGAGTACAGATTGGACTATGATTTCATAATGTTATATACTATGAGATTATGCATGCAAGTTCTCAAATTACTACATCAATCCCGTATGTTTACATATCGACAGCATATGGACAATAACTACCAAAAGGAATTCCTGTGATCACCTTTTGTATAATTTTATTACACATAGCAGTTGCTTATCATTAGTAGAATTAGTGGAAGTAAAGCAGAATACACGAAATGTAATTTTAGTGAACCTATGAAGGTGAATAAGCGTATAGTACAAATGGACGGTCAAGAAATAACTGAGTAATCATTTTCGTTATTTAGGTTCAATCATTCGTCGTCATGATGGTGAGATTAAGGATAACGCCACTCATTGAATTAAATCAGGATGGAATAATTAGTGAAAGACTGTAATGTCTAAATACCTCTAAAAAAATTAATAGGGGACTATTGAAATTCTAAGATTGTTTTGTAGTTTTGAACTCTTGAGGGTGCTTTTTGCAATTTTTAAACTTTAAGGGTGGATTTTGTAAATTATAAATTTACAGGGGCTGTTAGTAATTTTTGGATTTCATGTGTCATTTGTAGGTTTTGAAATTTTAGGATGGTTTTGTAATTCTAAACTATGGAGGGTGTTTTTTTAAAAATTTAAAACTTTGAGGGTGTTAATTACAAATTTTAAATTTATAATGGACTATTGAAATTTTTTAGATTTCATGTGTTATTTGCAAGTTTAGAAAACTCTAAGACTGTTTGGTAATTTTGAAGTCTTGAGCGTGTTTTTCTCATTTTTTTACAACTTTTAAGGGTATTTTTTGCAAATTATAAAATTTTAGGGGGCTGTTGGTAATTTTTGAATTTCATGTGTTATCTGTGAGGTTAGAAAATTTTGATAGTTTTTTATAATTTTTAACTCTTGAGGACGTTTTTATAATATTTTAAACTTTGAGGGTGTTTTTTGCAAAGCGTTTTTATAATATTTTAAACTTTGAGGGTGTTTTTTGCAAATCTCAAAATTTTAAGGGGTTGTTAGTCATTTTAAGTGTTTTCTATAATTTTTAACTTTTAAAAATAAGTTTTGTAATTGTTGAAGCGTTGAGGGTGTTTTTAAAATAATATCCATTTAAATGGGCAAATGGGTGGGTAATAACTCACCCATTAATGACTCATTTATCTTTAATAGAAACTATACCTACCCATTTATGTCCCATTTAATTAAATGGGTGAGTTTGGATGGTTTATTTGACGGGTGGGTATGAGTGGGCAATTGGTTTTAGGTCCATTTTGCCATCCCTAGGAGTAATGTACATGACGAGTGAATTTAGAGGGAGTGCGATTAGACTGTCCGAGGTATTGCCACGGTACAAGATGTTGTCATGTGGACGCGTTACACGAAATGAGCAACGATTGCCTTTCCCGCCCTCCCCCGCCGTGGGCTATAAATAAGAGGAGACCAGAGTACGGAGAAAGCTACTGTCGTCTTCTCTTTTTGTGCCGCAGGCGAATTTTAGGGCATTTTGAGTTTTCGAGTTCGAGGCTGAGGAAAAAGTTTCGAAACCCTAGTAAGTTCTCCTCTATCTATCAGTAGAATCGTACCGTTTGAGATCGACCGATCGAGTCGTACCGTTTGAGATCGATCGATCGATCGATCTCGAATTGTATTGTTTGAGTAGCTTCTTTTTTGCGAGATCTTGTTGTAATTTCCTGATTTACCTCGATGATAGAGCAATTTGCTGGAAAATTGGAGAAAATGGTAGAACTCTTTGGAATCACGTTATTGAGAAGTTTGCTGGAGATCAAAGTTGAAATTATTTGATTTACTACGATTTTGATGGAATTCTGCTTTAAAACCGATACATTTTTGTTTAATTTGATAAATTAGGTCTTTATGAGTAGATTTTCCTGAAACAGTGAGTAAATTGCTTGCTTTTCCTTAGATTAGGTGATTTTTTTTGTTGATTTTGTTGGTATATACTGAGATCTGATGGGATGGATGAGCAATCTTAGTTCTAGTCCTTTGATTGAAGAAATAATGAGGAAGATGGTCATATCTTTTCTAATGCATGCTTGTGATTATTTTCTGATATTTGATCTGGTGCCTCTCTGATGAACTAATTATGTTTTTGCATGAACTATTTAGTTTCCGGCAGATGTTGTCATAGTTGCGTAAGTGAAGCTAAGATCTTTGTCACCTGCTCTCTCTCTTGTTGATAACCAACAATTACAGTTATTCTAAAGAAAGGAAAAGAGAATCTTACAATCCAATCGATGTCTTAGTTATCTGATTTCAAAATATCTATTATTTTTCTTTCAGAGGTACTCAGGATATCTATTTTTAATATAAGTTCAGTCGTTGGATCATGTGTTTCATAGTTTAAAATTTGTGACTAATGAAAATAAATTATATGCTGAATCCTCTAAATATTCAAACATTCACAAAATCCTTGAAATTCTCATTCTTACCTTAAATATATCATCCTGGCCTGACTGTTTTTTTCCTTAATTTTAAATTTTCGAATTAACTAAACAAATAATCTGATCTTTGTATCTTTTCAACATGAATTCTTCCTGTTAATCCCTAATTAAAAAAATTCTCTATGTTAGCTCCCGAAAATATCCGGTCCCTTTTTATGTAATTCTAGATTTTACATAGGTACTGAATTATTTGGACTGGATATCACAAACTTGTGAGCATAAATGTCCTTCGTCTTGTAATATAAAGGTCAGGCACATGGGTGTGGATGGATAGATTTCCTTTAAATAAAACGGAAAAAGAATATGAAGTGCTGCACTCTCTCGACATGAAGTCTTTGACCTAAGTTTTAAACAATTGTAACAATCAATCAAATAATTAAGAGAGAGAAGATTAAACAAAGGGTTCTCTTTTATTTTTATGTTCCCTAAAAAAACGATGACAAAAGAGAGGTTCTAAGAATTGAGGAAAAATAAGTAGTTTATTGATGGAGTTTCTAAAATAAAAATAGAAAGATTTAATTGGCAGAGTAATTAGAAAAGAGAGATTTAAGGAAGAGAAAGATCAATCTAAGATTTATGTGAGATGTTGAAGGATTTTGTAGACCTCACTAATTAACTTCTAATTTATTAGCTACTAATCTTAAAGCACGATTATAGGATCCAACGGCTAAAAAAGTAGGAGGAGGAGATTCCTTCTCCTCCTAAGAGCATAATAGTCCATTATATATGTGTGTGTGTCTACACACACATGCGCGCACACACACATATTAAAGTCATGACAAAAAGGCCTCTGGATCTATGACTCTGGTAATGCAGTCAATGAGGAATAAATGAGAAAGTAAACGTTTCTATTGCCATTCAGCTTGAGAAATCTGTCATCATGTGGATAAAGCAAATAATACACTGGTCTGATATTTTGAAATTAGTTGTTGTTGGGGAAATATCAGATACGCTCTGACACCCGTTCTGCGAAATTGACCCTACCGGATCTTGTGTTAAGCAATGGAAAAAAGAAATCACTACAAATCTAAATTAATTGCAAGAATAAAGAACACCGAGTTTTAACGAGGTTCGGCAACTTGCCTACGTCCTCAGGAGCCACACAAATAATTTTCTTTATATTAAAGAAGATTACAAAGCTTGTATAAGAGCATATCTCAACTTGAGATCTCTCAAGAAAGAATAAACAGAAAAACAATCTGTTGTTCAAATAAGGGCGCGAGTTTTTCCAAACAAGAAAATCCCCTCTCTCTCTCCTCAATGAATGATACAGTCTCTCTCTCTCTCTCTCTCTCTCTAATCCCCTTCTTAAATCCTCCTTTTTCCTTTCCCCCCCAAAATCAGCCGAGTAAGGCACTGGAGAAAAAAACAAGAAGAAGAAGAAAAAATGGCGCCGCCAAAGAGATCGCGGAGAAGAAGAAGACGGGGCAGCGTTCTCGTGCTCAGGGGTTTCCCTTAAATAGGGAAACCCTAGCCTACAGCTGTGTCCAGCTGTTTCCCAACAGCCGCAGGCGAAGAAGGAAAAAGGGGGAAGGCGAAATCAACCTCGCCTGCTCAGCCCCACATTCGCCTGCAAGCACAGAATCCGCCTGCACTCAAAACAGCTTCGATCTCGCCTGTAAGACGCCGCTCGAGCTCGCCATCAGCCCATCGAAATCCGTCTCCAATGGGATCTGGCCAGCGGGGCATCTCCGAACTCGCCAGCAGCCTTGCTCGAGCTCGCCATCCCAGCTCAAGCTCGCCTTCGCTCGTCGCTGATAAGGTAAGAGCCTGTTTGGATTTGTAGGGGGTGAAGGGAAGTTAAGGTAAACTAGGTGAGAGAATGGAAGGGAAGGGAAGGGAGTTCCCTTCCCTTTGGTTACACCCCAATTTGGGAGGTAACAAATTTAATACTATTATGGTGTGTTTGGGAGTTTACTAAGGGAAGGGAAGGAAAGGTAAACAATGGGAAGGGAAGGGAAGGGAAGAGAATTATAATATGTTGTTTGGGAGTTGAGTAAGGTGAATGAAGGTGAAAGAAAGTAAATATATATAAATTTACATAAATGACTTTATACTAATAACACATCAGGCCTTTTATTTATTTTGATGGGGGTACGAATGTCATTACACCCCTTTACCCTCCTTTACCCTCCTCTACCGTCCAAATCGGGGGGAAAAGAAAACCAAACAATTTTAACCTCCTTTCCCCTTCCTTCCTCCTCTCTACCCTCCTTAAAAAAAACTCCCAAATGTTTTCACCAAAAGTTGGTTTCATTGTGGAATTCATTATATCTTCGGTCGATTACAACAAATTCAAAAAAGATAGCCTTTTTATAAGACTTATCTTACACAACAAAAGGAAAATTATAACTTTTTAGAAACAAACGCAGGATCGTTGTTTGGATCACTGCTTGCGTGGAATCTTTGTCTGTGCCGGGGTGCGTTAGCCCGTAGACCACCAAATCACAGATTCTGATTGAATCGTGAGGGGTTTAATGATTCTTCTTTCGTTTATCGAAATGAGAATTTGAAATGATATCTTATCAAAGTAAGATAGTCGTTCTTCTTAAGATCAAGTCAAAGCTCGAATCTCAAGGAATGGCCAGAAGCTCAGGAACTCTGCTCTCTCTGCTCCAAAGTGCTCAAGAATGATTAGCCCCCTCAAAAATCGACCTCAGGGGGTATTTATAGGTCTCGACGGCCGAGACAGCAAAGACTGTCTCGGGTTCTGAGACAGTAAAGACTGTCTCGGCCCACGAGACAGTAAACACTATCTCGAAAACAGTAACTGTCTGGCAGTTTTCTTGTAACTGCCTTTCCACGTTTTACAACTCCGTTATTTTGGCAGTTGTCAACGTGATTCTCGCCCACGATGTTCTCCACGTCCCTTGGCAATTAATGGACACGTGGGTGGGAGTTATTTAAGTGGTTTTGGTCGTTTCAACACTGTCTCGCTGGCGAGATAGCAAACACTGTCTCACTAGCGAGACAGCAAACACTGTCTCGCTGGCGAGACAGCATACACTGTCTCGCTGGCGAGACAGCATACACTGTCTCGCTGGCGAGACAGGTCATACTGTCTCGCTGGCGAGACAGTAAACACTGTCTCGCTGGCGAGACAGTTCATATCTGTCTTGATTTTTTTCTTAAGACAGTATGAGGTGATTTTTTATGATCTTTTCTATGTTTGGATATCTATTAGTATTTTTTAACGCCTACAGATACCCCCTCCAAAGTATTCCAGACGTATTCTTTTATAGAAGAGTTTGGGATACTTTGGATAAGATAGATTTTACTTACGATCCCTTCAATGCTTGGTTGAGTAGATCGTGTTGAAGAATCTGTAAAATAGCTTCGGCTCTTGATCTCTTCATCTATTAGTCTATTCAGTTCTTTGTAGAATAGCTAATACTTCTTCGGCACTGCGTTTATCGCTCGACCGTTGTTGAGATCTTGAATTGAAGCTGGTATTTCCAGATTGATGTTTGTTTATCTCTCGAGAGTTCGTCAGGTTATCCTTAAGAATATCAAAAGTAATATTCTCCAGAAACATCCCATCGAATGTAGGAAAACAGTTTAGACTCGTGTACCCATTGGAGTAATATTCCTGAATAATCTAATTTTTCAATTATTCAACCATTTCATTTTACCAAGTTCAACGTTAGCCAGATTAGTCAACATTTCTATGTTTCGATGCAACAACAAGATGTTATTTGTAACAAGTAGTTTTGTTGGTTGGTTAATTGGTCACATTTTATTCATGAAATGGGTTGGATTGGTATTATTCTGGATACGGCAAAATCATTCGATTCGATCTAATAAGTACCTTGTGTCAGAATTGAGAAATTCTATGGCTCGAATCTTTAGTATTCTCTTATTTATCACCTGGATTGGTAACATGGTCCCCTTTTTGTTGGTAGAGATAAACCCAAATCGGAGAGGAAGAATTTTATATTCTATCTCCTGGTCTCTTGTTTGTTGGTAGAGATAAACCCAAATTGGAGAGGAAGAATTTTATATTCTATCTCCTGGTTTCTTGTTTGTTGGTAGAGATAAACCCGAAATCGGAGAGGAAGAATTTTATATTCTATCTCCTGGTGCAAAG